AGCAGCTCCTCTGCAAATCGCAGCAGGGCTTAGGGCACTGCCTGCAGGCACCGAGTGGAGAGGAGCGAAGCAGAGAGAGGTTAAAGACTGTGTGGGGTGGAACGATGCTGAGAGCTTACGGGGGCATAGATCTTCCCAGCCCTTTACATGGTAAGTTTCTGGATGAAGGACAGTGTGGCTGCTGTTCGTGGAGGTATATACAAAGGCTGGTACATCCCACAGCAGATATGATCTTTCAGAAGGACTCTTACATTTTCCCCATTCTAGAGGCACTGTGTCTTCTTGGAAACCCCACCGTAGGCAGCAGAAGTCTGTTACATCCTCGCCAACAAATTCCAACTCCCTCAGCCCCTTGTAACAAAGCAAATTATCCAGCCCTGACCATCTCTGCAGCCCTCCACTGAATTGCCCTCCAGCTTGCCAATGTCTCTCTGGCACTGCGGGGCACCAAAACCTGGGCAAGGATTCTGGATGTGGTGTAAAAACTGCTGAGCAGAGGGCGATAATCACTTCTCCTGGCTGTGCTCCTGCTCAGACAGCCCAGGATGTTCTTGGCCATCTTTACTGATGGCTCATCTTTTGCCTAAGGTAACACAAAGACCAGCAGACCCTTTACTGTGAAGCTGACACCTGTCTAGGCAGTCCCTCTCCTATACCATTTCAGAGCCTACATCCACTTTAGGAGTACGATTTGGGTTGAATCTTCACTGGATATCACGAGGTTCTTATTGGCCCATCTCTCCAGCCTAAGTCCTTTGGGATGGCAACTCAGCCCTCCAGCCCTGCCCAGCTCTCCTGAATGGGATGTCTTCTATGAACTTTATAGAAAAGTAATCTCTCTTTTCATCCAGGTCATTGAAAAGATGTTAAACAAGGCAGGTTGCAGGATAGACCCCCTGCAGACCCGACTAGCTAGATGCCTCCAGACAGAGCACCACACATGTACCACATTCCTCCAAGCCCAGCTCCCCAGCTGTTTTATTACTCAACTACTTATCCACCCATGCAGCCCATACTGTCCTAACTTGAACACAAAGAAATATATGGAGGGATGATGCTGTAAGCCCTGATGACTTCCAAGTAGAAGACCATCACTTCTCTCCCCACATCCAGCATTCGAGTCCTTTCATTACAGAAAGGAAAGAAGATGGCCAGGAATAACATACCCAGTTGTCTTACAGAAACCTTGAAAGGGGATCTGAGTAGACACACTCTGGGGCATAGCCTTTCACTCTTCTGCACAGCCTTTGGGCTTTTTGGAAAGGTGCATAGCATGTGTGGCTTCTGCCAATCATGGAGTCCCCACAGTCTCCATGACCTTTCAAAGGCAATGGAGAGTGGCCTCACTGTGACATTGGCCTGCTCACTCAGCTGCCTGGGGTGCTGCCCCTCCTCTCCCAGAGAGTGGTAAGCATTGCGTTTGCTCAAGTGATCCCTGACTTGATCCCCATCCACCGCTGGTTGATCTCCTCCAGAATCATGCCCTGAGTCACAGAGGCCAGGGAGACCTTGCTGGGAGAGACTGAGGCAAAGAGGACACAGAGAAGCTCAGGTCTAACTACAACGGCTCTTACTAAATTCAGCAGTGGCCGCACAGTGTCTGCATTTCTCCCTTAACTGCTCCTTCAGTAGCACACACTCATTGTGGTGCCCTTCAGTTGCCTTTCAAGGTCAGACTGAGTTTGGATCTGGACCCTTGCTGAGCTTGGAGCCTGCTGTCCTCGAAGACCAGCTGGACTGAGCTCTGCAACCATGCCACAGCTCTGTCTCCTCAGGAATGGCTCCAGCTCTTCCCTCCTGTGCCCCTGGCTGAGGGCATTGCTGCACCTTTGGGCTGAAGCCCTGCAGCTGTGGAACCAGGCCAGCTCTGACTTGCCATAAGGAACCTGGTACCGAGCATCCATGGCCCCGTGTGTGCAAAGGCTTTGCTTCAGAGCAGAGACATGGCATGGACAAAAGAGAGCTGCATGTCTTTCTAGGCCCAGGTCTAAAGACTGACAAAGAAATGCCTAAATTTGCTCAACTGATTGCATCCTCCCAGCTTGGAGAAAGTAGATCATTCCCTGTCATGTTCCTGTTGTCCTGTCTAATGATGGGACAAACCCCATGATTCTGATGGCGAAATATTTTTCATAATAAGAGTAATATTAGACAGTGCAGAAAACAAGTGTCTCTCCCCAGGTGAGGGAGGGAACATCAGGGATGACTTTAGCCTGTTTCACAGCAGGTTCCCCTGGAGACCCGGGGACACCTGGAGGGAGCCCAGAGGGGGCAGAGCAAGTGCTGCCTTGGGCTGGTCCTCTGCTGCTGAGCTGGGCTGGGCTCCTGGGATGGGGGAGCTCACGGCAAGCAGGCAGTGCTGCAGAGAGACAGCTCTGCCCAGGAGCAGCTCCTCTGCAAAGCGCAGCAGGGCTTAGGGCACTGCCTGCAGGCACCGAGTGGAGAGGAGCGAAGCAGAGAGAGGTTAAAGACTGTGTGGGGTGGAACGATGCTGAGAGCTTACGGGGGCATAGATCTTCCCAGCCCTTTACATGGTAAGTTTCTGGATGAAGGACAGTGTGGCTGCTGTTCGTGGAGGTATATACAAAGGCTGGTACATCCCACAGCAGATATGATCTTTCAGAAGGACTCTTACATTTTCCCCATTCTAGAGGAAGAGGACATGCTGCAGAGCCGGGCTTCCCTGCTGCACTGTCAGAAGGACAGGGCATGATTTCTGCCTTCGACTTGGGATAACTCAAGGTTTTTCAAGCTACCTGTGCAGCCATGGGTACGCAGGGCTCTTCTTCCAAGAGGGGTTCCTGCACCAGAGGGAGCTGTGAACCAGAGCATGGATTCTGCCACCTGCCAGGGTCAGCACTCAGACTGCCTGGGGTGCTCCCAAAAGCGCTGTGGCCGGAAGTGGTGGGTGGAACGAGTGACCTTTGGCAGGGCAGGAGTCTTCTGAACTAAGAATGATGTGGGGAGAAGCAGGGCAGGGTCCTCCTGTTGTCCAGAGGACGCAGTAGGGTCAGGGCTGATCAGATTTCTACTTCACCAGGAGTAAATTTGCATATTGGTCATTTTAAAGATGGATGTCAAGGTAGGGCATTCCCTGAAAGGGTAGAAATCTGTGCTGCTTACCCCTGCATACACAGAGATGTCCCTGGGCAGTGCCCTGCTGCCAGGAGGGGTCTGCAGGGAAGAGCTGAGCAGACAGGAAGAGGGATGGGGACTGTGAGCATGCAGAGGGAGGGGAGCTGGGGACAGAGAAACAAGGTCCTTGCCAAGAAGAGCTCCAGGCAGCAGAGCCATGGTCAGAAAGAAAGAAAGAAGTGCTGCCAGAAATGCCATGGGAGGAGGGATTCAGGCATCTCCCTGCCATTCCCTGCAGTGCAAATGTTTTCCCTGGAGCCACGCTGTGGTCTCCTCACTCACACAGCAGCGCCTCTGCCCTCAGTGTCATGGAGACTTGGCCAGGAGTTGCCTTCCCAGCAACCGCCAAAGAGAAGAAAGCCCCCAGCGTCATACTGGGTCTCCCTCTCCTGTCTCCCTTGCAAAGGGGTACTTGGGCATCTTCTCCTCTTCTCCCATCCGCCCTTGTTCTTACTGTTACACTCCCGGGGGTGTGGGGGGTGAGGATTCAAGTGCAGCTCAGACACCAACGCTGTGTGCTCTGCCGTGCACGTATGTCCATGGAGGAAAAGCATCCCACTCATCCCCTGTGAACCTTTGGGGCTCTGGGTACTGCAGTGTGTGCGGCTAGCAGGGACCTCAGCCTCTCTTCAGGATGTAACAAAGGGAGGAGATGGGACTCTTTCCTTGGGAGGTCCTACTGGGCTGCAGGCTGCCTTCCAGGATGGCAAAGCTCTCCCATGGCATCTCTATGTTGTGCAGGAGCCCCATGGAGAAGACCTCTGTGTGCTGAGGCCACTGAAATGCTGCTGGGTGGCTGTAGGTGGGCAGCTGCCATGAGCCCCAGGTGTTCCTGGTTGCGAGGGCAGAGCTGAGATCCTTCTCAGGTACGATGGGCTGAGAGCTTTGGAGATCTGCACTTGGAGCTCCTGGAAGTGCCTTGTTTCTTTGGGGGGGGGGGGAACCCCCGAGTGTGATGGTCCTGGAGCTGAAGGAGCTGCCAGCACAGAGCAGCTGAGACCAGGGCTGATGGACAGAGCGGCTGTCCTCCCTCTGCACTAAGGGACAGTCCTTTTGCCTTTCAGGACCTACAAGTTTTCCCTGGAAGTGCAGCAGGATTGCTCAATACTCCAAAAGTCTTCAGTTGTGTGGGGCAACTAGGAAAAAAGTATAAAAATAAAATCCCCTCAGCTGAGCTCTCTATCTGTGTGAATTGGGAGTGACAGTGCTGAAAAGCTACTTGGTATCATGAGTTAATTTAATCCAAGATCACCCCGAGTTCCTATTTGCCTACTTCTATAGGGCAGGACTGAATGCTGCAGAGCCCACAGGAGAGCCTCCTACTCCCTGGGGCACACTAAGCCAACACCAAGCAGAGCTCATGAAAGGTTCATGAAAGTCAAGCTCTTGAACTTGCAAAAAGTCTTCATGAAAGGAAAGAGGAAGTTTTGGAGGTGAAAATTGAATGGATTTTGCTCAGATAAATCCATCCTAACATACTGATACATTTTCCTCCTTGGACAGGTCCCCATGCACAGAGGAAGAAAACGTCCAACAACAGCTCCATCACTGAGTTTATTCTCCTGGCATTCGCAGACTCACAGGAGCTGCAGCTCTTGCACTTCTGGCTCTTCCTGGGCATCTACCTGGCTGCCCTCCTGGGAAATGGACTCATCATCACCGCCGTAGCCTGCGACTACCACCTGCACACCCCTATGTACTTCTTCCTCCTCAACCTCTCCCTCCTTGACCTAGGCTCAATCTCCACCACTGTCCCCAAGTCCATGGCCAATTCCCTCTGGGACACCAGGGACATCCTCTACCAAGGGTGTGTGGCCCAGCTCTTTTTCTTATTCTTTTTTATGTCAGCAGAGTATTTTCTTCTCACTGTCATGGCCTATGACCGCTACGTGGCCATCTGCAAACCCCTGCACTACGGGACCCTCCTGGGCAGCAGAGCTTGTGTCCACATGGCAGCAGCTGCCTGGGGCAGTGGCTTTCTCCATGCTGTGCTGCACACGGCCAATACATTTTCACTCCCACTCTGCAAGGGCAATGCCGTGGACCAGTTCTTCTGTGAAATCCCCCAGATCCTCAAACTCTCCTGCACAGATGCTTATCTCAGGGAGTTCGGGCTTATTGTGGTTAGCGTCTTTGTGCTCTTTGGATGTTTTGTTTTCATTGTGCTGTCCTATGTGCAGATCTTCAGGGCCGTGCTGAGGATCCCCTCTCAGCAGGGACGGCACAAAGCCTTTTCCACATGCCTCCCTCACCTGGCCGTGGTCTCCCTGTTTGTAAGCACTGCAGTGTTTGCCTACCTGAAGCCCCCCTCCAATTCCTCCCCATCCTTGGATCTGATGCTTAGTGTATTGTATTCTGTGGTGCCTCCAGCAGTGAACCCCTTCATCTACAGCATGAGGAACCAGGAGCTCAAAGACACGCTCAAGAAGCTCATTCCATCAGTACTATGATGGACATCATACATCATACATTCCATCAGTAGTATTCCATGAGTAATATTTCAGCCACAATAAGCTGCTAATGTCTCTTCACAAGTGATTTCCACTGTATCTGGAGAATGTCCTGTGCTTTGGGCATTTTATCAGTGATAATCCTGTTTCCCCAGGAATGTCTGCATGCACTTCACTTCTCCAGCAGCATGAACCATGGTCTGTCTGACCCAGAGGTTTTTGTACATCTGTCTGTCCCAATAGCACAGCTGGCCTCTCCTGTCACGTCTCTGTAATATAAGGGGGGTTCCTGAGTGCTGCTCTCTGGACGTTGAGCTTTTCTTCCAA